AATCCTTTCGAAGTTTCCAACGGTCGTCCGTCGCATAAAGGAGAGTGGCGCGGGTTCAAGTATGAAATTCTTGCCGCGAGCCGCTCCGTCGTGTCTTTATACCGGTAATCGGAGAAGCCCGGCATTCTTCCGTTGCGAGCGTCGCGTGCCACCGGCGCGGCGTGGCGGAGGACCACGAACGATTCCCGTCCTGCAAACTGTAGCGTCGACGCCGCTACGTCGTCGACGCCGGAACCTCGTCGACGAAGAATACGCTCGACCCGCTAATTTCCACGCGGAATCGTCACACTCGGCTTGTCACCGCGTCCGGGAAGCAATTCCGCAGATTCTTCGAGCCTCCCCCTCCGTCGGCCCCTCCCCACCACCACACTCCTCTCCACGCTGCTGGAATGCCTCCTTTGATCGTAGCTCGCGAACATCACTCTAACAAGAACCGACGCATAACTTCGCCGTCCCGTATCCGCGGATTCTCCCGTTATAGCTCGGCCCTTTGAAAAGCCACCTTAAACCCCGGGCGCAGACGAAACGACATTTGTCAAAAGTTCCCGGTCCGGCACCGATTCTTGATCGTCTTTGGACGGAGTCCTGACCGTGGACCCAGATGCGACGCTGTCGCGCGCTCCGGTGCGGTCGGCGACGATTGACGCGGTCATTTTGCGGTCCGCGAACAATGGAGCCTGCCGGTGAGCCTCGTCGACGCCGGCCCGGGACGTCATGCCCTGTGATTGCTGGCCTGTCGAGGATGAGCTCCGCGTGTGACTTGGAACTGCCGGAGAATGGGAGGCTGTTACGACGATATCGAAAAACGTGATTTGCCCGGAGCCGATGACACTCTCGCGTCCGAGGGAAACGTAATGAATATTCTAGTGGCGTGCGCGACGCGGTTTGCGCGCTGAGCCTGCCATTAGTTTCTTGATAGGTGATAATCAACGCTGATGAGGTGGTCGGTTTGCTCTTTTTTTCGGTAAGCTGTTGCGTTAATTTAAATTCTTCGCTGGTTATCGGGTACTTGGGAGTTTTGTGTTATGTTGGTGATCTTATCGAGAGGATTAGTTATTAATTAACTTCTGTTGGCGTGAGTGTTTTCTGTGAATAATATATTTAAAATAGTGCGTCTCGGGAGTTGCAGTATAAAACTATTAAGCGGAATGAAGCGGAGAAGGATCCAGTTTACTCGTCCCTCATCGGAGACATGAATAAATCGACGACCTCGTTCCGCGAATAGTATGAAAGAGTGCTAGAATTACACCATTATCCCATTTAATTACCGAAGACGTCCGCGTTAAACAAACTTAATCGTCTCGATGCCGGAAACGGCGCGCCGGCGAAGGGAAAGTTTTCATTTCGGTCGCGGATGTACAGACGCTTCTAGCGCGAACTTTTATAGCCCGCTTCTACTCGATTCCTATCCTTTTAATTAATCGTGGGTTCCTATTTCCAGCGGGAACCGACGAACGGTTTAATCTTTTCCTCCTGTGCTCCCGGTTTTACGGTCCCGGCCAAAGATACTCCGAAACAGACGCGCGACTGGCGTTTGATGCGATAGCGACGGCTGACAAGACACTGATCGCGTTATCCACTCATCATTCCAGAAATACGGATTCCACGGGCCGAGATTTGATCGATATCGAGGTTATTCGACTGCGTCGTTCATTTATTCACGAGGCTGCCTAAAAACGTGGACAGCCGAGGAATCGCAACGGTGTCAATTACCTGTCCAGGGGCCCGTTATCTTCCGCGACCAGATCGAATCAGTAATTCCGACTGGCGTTAATCATGCACATCGAGCGCCGGTGTCAAAGGTATATTTGGATAAATCACACGAGGGCCCGCGTTAACCGCGTTTCATTCGCCGGTAAGAAGCGCATAAATATTCAAGTCCCGCGGGAAGAGAAAGACATTATAACTCTGACGGTCCTGCCGGACTTTTTCGACGTTTTCTCGTCGCCGTCCCTCTCCTTCCCTCTCGTTTCCTCGTCCCCCCCGCCGGGGAAGACGAAGAGTAATTACGAAAGTAACTGCGAGACGTTAAATACCCTCCGTTGGATTCTTTTCGCCCGGAGGGCGGATAAAAAGAGACGCTTCGAGTTGCAATTAAAGTATTTATTGCCGCGCGACGCGATGCCGTCGTCGGAAGCGATCGCGGGACGGCGATATAAAACTGACATAAATTTCGTGTTTTTGCGCTTGTAACGGCGCGAACGGTCCTGATAAACACGACGCGCTGGGAAAAAAGAGTTATAGTTCGACGCCTTCGAGCAGCGATTTGACTGCGCTAACGTTCGGCTGAAAAAGCGGCGAGCCTTAATTATTCGGGTTTAATAACCGAGTGGCTTCGGAGAAAGGAAATCCACCGGGGATTGTGATAGTCGGATGACAATGTTTTTACGGATCACGGTGTGCTCGAACGGACCGACGTATTTTTGTGCAATTTTAATGCGACGGGTTGGACGCGAGTTAATAATTGATAATAGAGAGGAGGTACGGACGGTGTGTTGCCAGACAGTCGCTGAAATCAATGCAAAATTGAGTCGATCATTGGTGTATCAAATGGACTAGTTTATACGTTACTATAAATAATAATTTCCCCGCTACGATGAGAATTGTTTCTGCGCGAGGGGAAACAGGCGCATGTCGTCAGACAGTCGTTAAAGTGTATTGACAGATTTATCAGCGGCTCTCAAATATTTACATTATTTCGAGATATATTTTGAGGAAGTGTTGACACGTTATTGCGCAAAGTATCGGAGAAACGTTCGCGAACAATAGTTTTAAATTACAGCTGTCTCTTCTGAAACGGGAAAGACGTGAAATCTCGTTTCCCAGCGAGAGCTTTTTCGTCCCCTGGAAGCCAATAAAAAGAATTGCGACCAATACGTTCGTGACAGCCCTTTCGCCGTGGGTTGGCGGATCTGTACATAGAATTTCAAGAAAATACGGGTGTCCGACGTTCAGAATGAAAGGTATAAATAACGTGCGAGGGAACGTAACTCGCGACTAACCGAGTTCCCATTCAAAGTCATCGATCAAAGTCAACGCCAAGTAACTTCGAATGGGAACGATCCTTTGCATGGCCCTTAGCGTTTCGTAGACGTTCTCATGATAATATATCGTCCTATTTATGACCATAATGTTGCTTGCATCGGTGGGATCGCAGTGCGCGATTAAGATTTCAGGGCAACGCGTATTTATTTCGTCGAACCGCCCGACGCTACGCGGTAGAAAACAATTTAACATCACTTTTAACTTTCAGTACTTCAATCGAATATATTTCCGAATTTTCTCGATTGTAAAATAAAAAATCTGTCATGTAATTATACTGCCCGATAAATTTCCTCTCGATCGGAGCTTAATACTTTCGAAGAATACTCGTGAAACTGTTAATTAATTTTATCAATTATTCGCACCTACGTCTGACAATTTAATTTATTTTCGAAGCCTTCGACCGACTGTCAACGTCCACAATTTTTTTTTTCGCCGGCAACTGGAAATGATGGATTGCAATTTCCGAAATATTTTCTATCTCCAATGAACAGATTTGGATGCTGTAATCTCGCGTTGGCCCCGGCCCCGTTGATTTTATAACATTACATTGTAATCGAATGAATCTGGCCGCTGTCGATCAGCGTTTTTGCAAACACCGTCGAATAATTTACGCGACGCCGCCGTGAATTTATGAAAGCCGACGTCGGCGCGTCATCGCAATCGAAATTCTCGATGTGCCCCGTCCCCCCCGCCCGCGGATCGTTAAATTCCCTCGTCGTCCCGAGCGCCCTCGAACCGCTCTAACCGGTCACTCGAAAAGTAAAAATCTTCAAGCTACCCGTTGTTCGAAAGCTCGCCGGTGAACCGGTTGATTGCCGTTGACGCGTCATCGGCGATGTAATGGCGCATTAATAAATTTCCCTTGAAAACCTTTCCAACGGAGACATTATTAACATCGAGCACGATCGATGACACTTCATTCCCTTACATCCGATACTCAACCGAGTTTCAAGCTTATAAAACATTTTAATAAACACACGTCGCAGAAAATCATTACAAAAATCTGATACAATCGAAAGAATGCTTACTAAAGGCGAACACAAGGAGGTGGACAATGTTTGTACTTCGAAGTCTCCGCAAACCATCGAAGTTTCTTCTTCTTACAGGAACACCGCGTTTTCACAGCTCTTTTCTCTTCGTCCTCCAATATCTCGATGATCCTCGGTTTGGACAAAGTAGAATTGAAAGATTTCTTCAAAACCGACGACGAGATGTACGGGTGAATCTACGAACACCAGGAGACACAACCTTGACGTGTCACGAAGAAAGGAATCCTTTGAAAAAATAACACCTCCCGTGTTTCGGAAATGGAAAAAACAGACCGAGGAGCGAGTGAATAATTCCCCGGATGGTCTCGCTGTATCTCAAAGCGATGCCGCGAATTTATTATTCACGGTGTTCCTTTCACGCGGGCTGGCAGCACGGAACGGGGGTGAAATTTGAAAAATTCGTTTCGGAGATGGTCCGCGTGAAAGACGCCCGAGTCGGCGGAAAAAGTGGCTCCGCCACAATTCGGACTATTTATGAAGCCACTTTGGCCGGCCGCGGATCTACGTGGAACTACGTTGGACGGAGTAATATAGAGCTCTCCACGGTCGTGTCCCGCCCTCCCCCTTTCGCCCTCTAACCATCTCGCAACGCCAGCCTCGTTGCCTCATACATCACCATCTGAAGTATCCGGTATTATTCCCGCGCGCAGCGAGCACGCAATATCCTGAGCCCGTGACAACAAAGTAAATACCGTATACGTGAACGGACAGAGCAGAATAGAAATTTCAACGTGAAAATACTGTGTATCCCGGCGGCCGGGTTCGATTTTCGCCTCGGCGATGGTTGCCGAACTCGTTTCCCCGGGCGAAATAACTCGACCGACCCGCCGACCGCTGCTCTCGGAATCGTCAACGAATCCATTTCCGTTTTCACGGTACGTTAATTCGACCGCCGCGGCCGGATATTTAACTAGGTCTTACACAGTAGCGGGCTGGTCCCGGCGCTTTCGGCTTCCTCGGATCTCTCAGGGGGAACGATATCACGCCGCCCGCGACGTTCGATGATATGTCGCCCGCTACGTCGTAAGTGGTTGGGTCTGTGAAATTTAATTAACCGCGGAGTGAAAATTGAATTTTTGACGAATATTTTAAGTGGTTGGTAAAAGATGCAGCACTGGTTTATGTGGCTCGAAGGAGGAAAGGTTGTGACGATTGCAATTGTGATAAATATGTACCTATGGAATAATTTCAGTTTTGCTTCTCGATTCTTAAAATTTGAAGTATCTAGGTCTGTAGGTCGAGAAACGTTTACTATAGATTGTTCAGTAAATAAATAAGATATAATACTGTACTCCTCTGCAACGTGATTGATTCGGATCATTGGAAGATTATATTTCAGACGATCCATAGAGGTACCTGGTCTCTGAACATCGTGCTCCCGCAGCGTCTTTGGAAATCGACTGGCACGTGAGCCGAAGGGCGCAGGTAATCGTCGGCTGAGGTAATCACATTTATCACGATTTGCCTTGAAAGCCGTTAAGACGTCGTAAGCGCCTGGATCAGGGACGTCCACCTATAAATATCGAATAATAAGGGTGCTCAGAATTCGTACCCCATTACCGAGTATATTAGAATGAGTCGGACGG